GATTTCATTACTGCAAAATACCTGGTTAATGACCTGGATTCAATTTTATTTTGTTTTAATAATCAATTTTTTTTGAGACAGGGTTTCTCTGTAACTTTGGAGCCTGTCCTGTAACTCACTCTGTAGACCAGGCTGGCCTCAAACTTACAGAGATCCACCTGACTCTGCCTCCCGAGTGCTGGGATTAAAGGTGTGCGCCACCACCGCCCGGCCCAAAAGAAACTTCTTATGTAACTCAACATTCAATCCCCAAAGACTCTCCTACATTCCCAAGGCTTGGCTCCCTGCAGACTCCCTCAGTACATCGATTCTCTGGCTGATTAATAGGTTGTGTCGGGACATAGCAGGGTGTTTTGATGTTTTGCATGGGGTCCTGGAAAAAGACTGCTCGCAAGCCTTTTATTTCATTCTTTAATCTGGGAACGCTTCCAGGTCCTGACTTGTGGTGTTGCCTACAGCCGTCTTCTGTCGAAGGCTCCTGCTCTCCTCCAGCCCCATCGCTGACGTTCGGCTTCATTTTTATATCCAACCTTCTCGTGGTTTCTCTTTTCTGTGTGTTGCAGCTTCCCAGCTGCTGCAAAGTCCTGGGTGATGGTAACCCTTCATGTTTGGTGCTTCCCAGGTTGCTTGACGCACAGTCGGGAGAATGTCCTATGCAGATGGGACAAGAGAGTGAGGGACTTGTAACATGAAGTCCAAAAGATAGCTCTTTACAGAATTCCCCAAATCAGGTTGAGGGTAATTATGCTATGAGCCAAACAGAACTTACCCGACATTCCTAGTTGCAAACTGCTCAAGATCTCCTAGTTCTGATTTCAATCAATCCATTGATGAGAAGCGATGATGGTACTAGACACTAGGCAGGGGACTGGAGTGGCCCAGAGAGATGACCCAATGCCCCCTTCTCTACCTGGAAAAGCTTACCCAAGGTGGCAGGGATAGACAGGCCTTTCCCTCCCCTGCATTACAACAATATCCAATTCACAAATGAGAATCTTTCAAGATAAGTTTATCCTAAAGAATCCGACCCGACATTTTAGAATGACTTGAGAACAAGTTTGAAATGAAACTACACCAAACTCAAGCATTCATCCAGGAAGGAATAAGAGTCCTCTTCCTGAATGTGCTGTAGAAACATATGCAATCTACCTGGAGACAGGTTATCAGCACCGCTTTGCAAGTACAGCGCAAGGATTTGTGGGAAAGAACCTAGAGGCACAAGGAGAAAAAGAATCAAATGGATTTAAAAAGAAAAACAGTTGGCCAACATAAAGTACACTATTGGAAAGGGAGTCTCAGCATGGCCAGCCCTCCCTCTATCCTGGGAAGGTATGAGCAGACTGGGGGAGGGGTGGGGGGGCTTGTGCCCCTTCTGTGAGGGGGTGGAGGGGATGGGGAAGCTATGGGCAGCAGTGACGGTGCCTTTGCAGGCCGGCCTTCAGGGCTAGGTCCTTGGCGCTGCTGGGAAGTTGCACACTGCCAGATGGAAGTCCTTTAAGGGAGCCATGGCAGATTGTTTATAAGCTGTGTGGAAGAAAGACAAGCCCCTTTCTTACCACAGGATCTCTCATCCGTCAGGCAGGGAAGGGACAGAGAGGGAGGACAGGAGAGGAGTGGACCCCACAAGTGGCTCCTTCCTTGGGTCTTACTAATGTCCGCTCCTTGACCTCAGCAGTCATTACAAAAGCCTGAGCCTCACACACAGCACCCAGCACAACGCACAGAACAAAACAAAAAGAAAAAGTGTTCCTGTCCATGGTCCTATACTCTATTTTCTCCAGAATCCAGTTTATTTTACAACAGTAAAAATGCTTTAGAGCGAGACATCAAAAGGGTGTAAAAAAAAAAAAGGCCCTTCCTCCTTCCTTGCATCTTAGGGCTCAGAGCCATAGAACCTGAAACAAAGGCCACTGAATGTTACGTTCTTGTCCTAAACTGGCAATCTACAGCAGTCCTATGAAGGAGACCATACTGAGTCCAGCCACCAATGGAAAAAAATGTGTCAACAGGCAAAGGCAGCCACCCAGTAGCCTGGAGCCTTGAGAGGCAGGACTTAAGGTCTGAGACCTTAGGGCCTTGAAGGAACTAAGCCTGCCCTACACAGCAGAGCTCACAGGGCCCTCTGAGGCCAGCTCAGTGATGGCTGGGATACGTACACGCACCCTTAATTCCACGGGGATGAATTCAGAGAAAGGTAGTCTCATGAGATTCGAACTGTAAGACAGGCTTGAAAGCATGTGTTAAAGAGTGCATTGGCTGCTAGCCAACCGTGACCATAGAAACATGCAGAGTGTAGTTTTCTAGCTGTTTCTACAGGGTTGGATAGGGTGAAAACGCATGCTTAGGTTCACTGTCGAAAATATAGTTTAGCTGGAAGAGTGGCAAAGGCTTTGGGCGGCCTTTATTGTGGTTGAAGGATGCATCAGTACATGAATATAGTGTAGAGGTGACTTCCCTCTTCCCTGAGTGGCCTTCTGTCTCCATATGAGATATACCTGCCAATACTCTGAAGTCCCTGTGTGAGTGTTTCATCTGTCAGAGAGAAGCAGTCACTCCGACAGACAGTGGGTCTGAGGACCTTGGCGCTTAGCACAGCTGTTATGGTCCAATTGCTCCCATTCTGAAAATTTGATTCTGTGTGTGCACAAGGGCTTAAAGAGCCTGAAGCATTCTGCTGTATGGAAAAGAGTGAGCTGGTCATCCCTGGGGCGGGGGGCCCTGGGCACAAGGAATGAGAGTGGTATAGATGATTCTGTCATTGAGCTAAGTCTGTGGGTCCTGTGGAAACAGGGACCCCATAGTACCCCTTATGCTCATAACCCTGGTACTGACTGTCAGGTGCTCCTCCAGGCTTCTGGAAACAGAAGCAGAAGGAAGGGTCAAGAGTAGCTGAGCCATAAAAGAAAGTGTGCCTATTTCTCTAAAGTGTTTGTCTGCAGTGTTCCCATATGTGCTTCCAAAGGAATCCGGGGTGTTAGATTCTTGTTGGAATCCACAGGATCAAGAAGGGAAGGAAGGGATAACGGGCCTCGATAAAGCCAAGGGTGGCCAGTTTGTGGAATTTCCATGCCTGTCCTGCTAGCTCTTTGCATGTGTTGCATTTAGTACAATTTACTGTAATGGTATGCTTGCAACTCAGGGAAAGGTCCCCAGCAGTTCAGCATTACCCAACGTTCAGTCTCTTAAGTCCAGGCTTGAAGGGACTGGCATAGGAGGGCTATGAATTTGCAGTCAGTGGCTTTACATAGTCAGTGGTCCTGAAAAGGATGCCCGCCCCCACCTGTCACTGGAGGGTGTAGCTCTTCTCTCTTCTGTCTGCCCTGCTTGTCAAGATTTCTTCTTTAACCTTCAGAGAAGTAGATGCTATTTATTGATAAGCCTGGACCCAAGCAGCCTGTAGCTGTGAGAGCCACCCGTAGACACTGCGGAGTCCAAACATAGTTATATTGTTGAGTTAGTTACGAAATAGCAATAAAAATAATGAAGCTTCCAAAATGGCATCCAGTGGGCTATGGAAGAGCATCGTCAGTGTCAGGAAACAAAAGACAGTACAAAATCACTGCTGACTAAAACGTCTGTAGCTTGGTCTCCACAAGTCCCAGTCTCAGGGATGAACTGTGGGGGAGCTCTGGCTGTAATGTCTACAAGAAAAGCCACTGAAGGTGCCATGAAAATGTTCACACCAGAAGCCACAGGCTCAGTTTACTGGGGACAGGGGCGCCTATGCCCCAGCTCTGCCACCCGTGGCAAACATCCCAGGCCATTCACACACCAAACTAATCCTGAAGAAGCCAAATGAGGACGGTTAGAACTAGACCTACCTCACAGAGTTGTTGTGAAGATTAAATAGGTTAACTCACCTGAGGTCCCTGGGCATCGCTTGGCATAGAGTGTACACTCAGTGAATGCTGGCCAGCAACAGGAGGAGGTGGGCCAGGGAGGAAGGGAAGGGAAGCCGTAGAGGGAGAGGGGCCGGGTTGTGGGGGGATGTTCTGAGGAAAACTGATCATCCTCTGCAGACATCCTCTGCAGACATCTCAGCCTAGCGCTGGGGAGAAGCCATGCCTTTCCCTCTTTGATCTATGCCTTATTTATTTTGAGACTTAGCGCCATGGTTTTAAATCCATGAGAAATTGCAGAGACTTCTTAAGATAGGGACCTGCCTCCCCAGGCCAAGGTTCATTATAAACAACTATTCTCTTTGGAATACACAGATTCCAGAGCCAGCTCTCCCAGGTGAACAAAGCAGACATCCTGGGCCGGGGTGGGGATGGGGCATGGGCACCTGTCCTCCAGTTGCCACTTGCTGTCACCCACCACTGGGTGTCTCTCACTCAGAGGATGATACCTCAGAGGTCACCTCACACTAGATAATGACTAAGGATAAATGGCACTCGGCTGGCTCTTTCATTAGGACCTCGTATGTTCTCCTCAGACTGGGACCAGGTGGCTCTGACTCAGCCTTGCCATCTAAGCCATTGCAGGTCAGTGTGCAGGCGTTGCTATATGGCCTCCTCCCTTAGCAAGTCAGTGCACAAATGCAGACATTGCAAAGGGCTGGTGGGCTAGGTCGTCCTTAGCTGGCTCTGATTTTTTAGCATTTAAGCCTGACCCAAAGCACTGGGCAAAGATAGTTGGTAAAAGGTGGCCAACAAAGGCAAGGGGAAAAAAGAAGATGCTGTATCTCTTGAGTTTCAGAAGCCTAGTGACTTCCTAGGACTTAAGGCAATCTTTAGGTTGGAAGAGTCAGAAGTAAACTTGAAGAGTTAGAGTCAGGTGTTCCGGCCTGTGATGACAAGAGCCTTCTCCTGCTGGGGTCAGAGGAGACCGTGAGAGATAGTCTACATGTGCCATGTTCCGATAGTCTACATGTGCCATGTTCCAGGTCAGGCCCAGTGAGGTTGGTGAGGAGCCAGAAGGAGGTGGCAGTTCCCAGGGAAATCCCTAGAAAAGTAGAAACTCCAAGAAAAAAAAGAAGCGAAAACTCCCGGAAGCGGCGTCCAGGCTGGAGAGTTGTAGGGGGTCTGACGCAGCGACGCGGACGGTGTGTTTGGTGTGAGATCATTTCAAAGATGTCTTCCAGAAGCCCGAAAGATTTAATTAAAAGCAAGTGGGGATCAAGGCCTAGCAGCTCCAAATCGGACACTGCACTAGATAAGTTTAAGGGAGAAATCGCAGCCTTTAAAACATCCCTGGATGAAATCACAAGTGGGAAAGGAAAAGCGACTGAGAAAGAGAAATGCAGACTTTTGGAGAAAATTCAAGTTCTTGAAGCTGAAAGAGAGAAGAACGTTTATTACCTCACAGAGAAGGACAAAGAAATACAGAGACTCAAAGATCAGCTAAAGGCAAGATATAGTTCCTCCTCATTGCTTGAGCAGCTGGAAGAGAAAACGAAGGAATGTGAGAAGAAGCAGCATTTGTTGGAGTCCTTATCCAAAGAGACAGATGTCCTGAAAGATCAATTGTCCGCCACGACGAAAAGACTTTCTGAACTGGAAAGCAAAGCCTGCACACTCCATCTGTCACAGAGCGGGACTGCAAACTGCTTCAACTCATCAATGAGCAGCATTTATGAAAAGGAAATGCAGCTGAAAGATGCTCTGGAGAAAAATCAGCAGTGGCTTGTGTATGACCAGCAGCGAGAGGCCTACGTTAAAGGACTTTTAGCAAAAATCTTTGAACTGGAGAAGAGAATAGAAATAGCCGCTTCACTCCCACAGCAGATGAAAAAGACTGAATCAGAAGGTTATCTTCAAGAGGAGAAACAAAAATATGATCATCTCTTGGAAAGTGCCAAAAAAGATCTTGAAGTTGAATGACAACCCGTAACTCAGTTGCGTTTAGAACTTGATGAATTTAGAAGAAAATATGAAGAAACTCAAAAAGAAGTTGAAGATTTACATCAACTGTTGAGTGCGCAACGAAAGGCAGACATGCAACACCTGGAAGAGGACAGACATAAGACAGAGAAGATCCAAAAGCTCAGGGCAGAGAGCAGTGTCTTCAAGGGAAAGCTGGAAGAGGAGAGGAAAAAGTCTGAAGAGCTCGTATCTCAGGTCCGCATTCTCTACGAGTCTCTGTTGAAACACCAAGAGGAACAGATCAGGGTGGCTCTGCTGGAGCAGCAGATGCAGGCATGTACCCTAGACTTTGAAAATGAAAAACTTGACCGCCAGAATATGCAACATCAACTTTATGTGATTCTTAAGGAACTTCGAAAAGCAAGAAGTCAGATAACACAGTTGGAATCCTTGAAGCAGCTACTTCGCAGAGCAGTCGTTCCCACTCCAGAGAGAGCCTGAAAACAGAGTGAAAGTTACCTCACCCAAAAGTCCCACTTCTGCACTCAACAAAAGCCTGGTGGAATGTCCCAACTGCAGTGTACAGTACCCAGCCAATGAACATCGAGACCTGCTCGTCCGTGTTGAATACTGCACGAAGTAGCAGAAACGTTCTCACCTTTATACTGAAGAAGTCCACACTGTATCCTATGTCGGTTTATGGGCACTTTGAATCACAGATTACATCTTTTGCACACTGACTGACATATGAGGGAATCCTTATATTTTTCTGGCCTCTTGGCATTTTCCTTGGTAGTGGTACCTCCCTGAGCTGCTTCATCATAGGCTGCAGTGACAGAGTGTGGTGAGCAGTGGGTACCCAGACTTCTAGCACTTCACACTGTTCTTCTAACTAGCACTTCACACTGTTCTAGTACCCGAAGAACGACAACTATTTGGGTTATTGACCAGCAAGCAAATATTTTATGCTTTGGGGGTTTTAAGAGGATCGGGAAGTAATTAACCATGGGTCTTACTGTGCTGATATTTTTATGTAAGTGCTTAGTATACTGTCACTTCCAGTTTGATGCCTCTTGCCATTGTCGAACGGTTACTAGAAAAGTTGAGGAGTTTCATAATCTCCGTTGCTGTTAACTCTTCTAAGCACAAAGCAGGTTTTGTTTGAAGAATGTCTTTAGGTAGCTGCACATTTTCACTCATATTATCTGACCATAACTGACTTAAATTTCATTAGCAGAAGTTGGTGCCAAAATGAACAAACTTTAACAAAATTATCTTGCCTCCTCATTCAGTTTGCAGGTATTTTATTATATCTTGGTGGGTTTTGTTTTTTGGCCACTCTCAAAGATGGGTGAGCAGTGTAATTATCAGATATTTGTTTTCTGAATAGATATTTTTTATATATGCTTTATGTAAACCAAAAGATGTTTTATTTCTTCAGATTTTCTAACATGCTTAAACCTGGGCTGCTGTTAGCGATATGAAGGAAAAAATAATAAAATTATTCAATAAATTAAAAAAAAAAGAAAAAGAAAAAAAAGAAGCTACATCGACGGATACAGGAATATCCATAAAGAAATATCCTTAGACAGCCCTCAGAAACTTCCACACGGCTCAGATTAGCTTCAACCTGGAAGCTGGTCCTTGTGCTGTGTGCCTTAGACACTGTCAATCCATAAAACTGAAAGGTCGCTGCGCAGTGGGACTCAGAGACATATGCCTTGGGTATCCTGGGACATCCAGCTGTGGGCCAGTGCAGTGATGGACATCACAGTGGACACACTACAGATTGCGCTTGCAGGAAGTCGGTGGGCTTCGCTGGCTCTTCCGTGGAGTCCGCGGGCCACGCACCCCGAGGAGGGAGAAAAAGTCCTGCTTTGCCTGTTCTTTTCCATTGCCCTCTCAAAGGGATAGTTGACAGTAAAGTGAGCTTTACATTTGAAAACGGTTGCTGGGTCTGTGATGCTGAGACACATGTTTCATGTTTGTATCTACATTGTGCAAACCGCGGGGGCGGGGAGGAGTATGGGAATCACCGCTAAAGATAGCTCTTTAGTCCGAAGGCTAGTAAGGAGGTGGGAAAGAGGTCACATAACTGAAAGTTAAATTTTCAGAGGACTTATGTTTTCACGCTCTGTGCTTGTGCTTGGCTGCCCGGGTATGATAAAACAGAGGAGGGGGAAACTGAAGAGGACCCCCAGAACTGTGCCCTGCCCACTGCCTTCCCATGGGGTCTGGGTAGGGAGTAGATGAAAGTACCTAAAATCCCCAAGGAGAGATTTGGAATTCTGAAAGGAAGTGGCAGAAGGGTCTGTTGCTCAGAGGGATAAGTTGCAGAGGATAATGGTGGAGACTCTGGGACTCTGGTCAGGGAACAAGAGACCCATACTGTGGTGAGGCCCGACTTTGCCTACCTGATGCCTAGTCCACCACACTGCTTTACAGCAAGTACTAAAATGCCGCGCCAGCTTGGCAACTGTCGTTCTGAGCGAGGGACGTTGGGATTAACACGCAACACAACTTCAGGTTCTGCAGACAAGCCTTTTATTCCACTTTCTCACAAATATATCTAACCCTCAGCAGGAGAGGCCAAACAAGCAATACAGGAAGCTCATACCGTAACTCAATGGCTTAGGGGTAAACATCCTTAGAAACATTGCTGAGAACAACAGATTGTTCCTGTTTTCAACCAACCTCAAGAGTGCAAAACTGATCAAGTGGGGATGCGAAGGCCTGTCCTCTAGGGACCCAACACTGAAAGGGCCGAGTCCTAAGCCTGGACGGGGCTGATCAGGATGCCCTGATCATCAGACACCTCTTTATATCTTACTTTTTTGAGAGCTGGAAAATAACAGTAGGTCCCCAACCCTACCTCCTGGCATTTCTGTCTCCTCTAAGAAGGAAGAAGAAGGGAGGGAGAAGAAGACGAAAACCCAAGAGTCAGTGATGCATTTTGAATTTGACAAGTGTTCAGTATGACTGAGGAGCAAAAAGAGAAATGGAAACCAGCCTAGATTTCAGGATGCCAGAATGGGAAAGGTTGAGTCAGGTTCAGTGTTTAAAAATAATGCCATTTGTTCACACTTTAGTTCACACTGACTCGATAGCTTTGTGATTCACGGTGAAGGAAATGGAGGGGACCTGGGAAGGGGAAGATACTGGTACAGTAACAAGCAGTATAGACTCAAGCATCTGTATGCGGGAGCGTGCGTTCTGCCCAAGTCTGCTGGGGAAGCAGAACATTGCCCTTCGACTCCAAAGTCATTTAGAAGATGCACTTCTACCACTGGAAAAGTCACAAGAGTGGCAGTAAAAGTAGGTCACAGATGGTGGCCTTTGAGTCACAGACGCCACAAACCTTAACTGTCTGGGGAATAAGAATCCCCAAGGAGGAAAAGGAGAAACCTGGAAGCCTGAAGCGAGAGCATTGGTCATTTGATACTTGACTAAAGAGAGACAGAGTTCAAAAGATCCTACTGACAACCAAGCCATCTACAGTAGCACAGTCACAGGATGCCACAGAAAAAGAACACAGCTGCTAGCGGTAGGGAAGGGGGAGGGGTGCTGGATTGGGGGCACCAGGGGGCACTTGGATAGTTCTGCTAGCTAGGAATCCAGAGCAGAAATCAAGATTTCCTTTTTAAAAAGGAGCAAACATTTGGGAGCCATCAGCACACAGGTAGCAACTGAAGTCATTCTACGCGCAAGACTGCCTACAGCCCAAGCTGTCATGAAGGACAGCGAGGGCAGATGACTTGGGAAGGACAGGCATTGTGCAGAACACAGAGAGCCTACAATGGTCCCAAGCAATGAGCAGCTGGAGGCTAGAAAAAAAGACCAGGAAATATAAAGGTCTCGGAAATGAATGGAGGATCTTGAGAAATGGGAAACTGGTTTCTATTCCCAGAGGAACCCCCTCCAGCTGGCCCCTGGCATCGTGAGCTCCGGGCGGCGCTGTTCTGCACTTCTTCTCTCTTCTAGGGCTGCATGAGTCTTCGTAGAGATCAAGGTGCCTGGGGATGGCCTTGTTGAACCCCTCAGCAAGAGGTCTGATTTTTTGTTTATCTTCTACTACTCTCCTGAGTTAGCTAGGGATGGGGACACCTACAGAAACGGACGGAATGGCAGAGAGTGCGTGATGGCAAGTCCAGGCTTTCTGGATGCATCCCAGCCCCATGATCCTGGAAGATTTCCATCTTTACAGGAACACCCCCTCCCCCCCAAGCCTTACACCATCTCCAAAATGCTCTGGAGAAATAGACACACTCTAGGTCCAGAAGTTAGCCACGGAGAACTGAGAATTAAGCGGTGCTTACCGCATTCACCCTGGAACTATGTTGGCCTCCTTCCTTATCGACAGGTCCCTTGAGCAGGACGGATCCATGCTCTTTGAGCTGTTTCCAAAGCTTTCCATAGCCAGTCTTGTTCGCACTCAAAGTGCACAGAGAGCTCTAACTTCATTTTGGTTTCTAGACCTGTTTCCTTGTCATCCCATGGCATGGGTCCCTGGAGGATGTTGGATAGCTGTCCATCAGTCATAACTGGGGGGGGGGAGGCTATCCTCTGTGCAGTCCTTCTGTAGTCTCCCAAGACCTTGCTCCCAAAATTGTCCTCAGCCCAACCCAAATTGCGGACACTAAGGACCTCAAGTCAAAGCTCAGTTTTTTTCTTAGAACTTCATCCTCTCCCTTTGCTCTTTGAGCCTGGGATTTGGTATGTCTCCACCGTGTTCTAGAATGTGCACACATCTGCAGGCCATGTCTGACTGTACTCCAGTCTACCCCATGAGAACGGAAACTAAGCAACCAACCTCATAAAGAATCCCCTTGTTCCATAGTTCAGAGCCACCACCCTGGTCCTCTCAAGGTTTTCATGCCCCACGGTGTTCTGTTCTGCTGCTTCTTCTGCTTGCTCTTCTTCGGACGCGAAAGGATGCAACACACAACAAAACCCATGTGGAGCGTGAACTTTATTGCACCGTGTGGGAGAGAAGGGGAAAAGAGAGCAAACAGAAGTCTTTCCAGCCTTTTAAAGGGTTCCCCACCCACGTGCGTCAAACGCCACATTCTGCGCCTGCTCAGCCTTTGCGTGGACCGCTAGGGGCTCCTGGGAAATGTAGTTCCCCAGGCGAGCTACGCTCAGGGGCCTTCTGGGGAATAACATTTCCACCCTTTTTAATTTATTAAAAATCTGGGGGGTTGAGAGTCTTAATGGGTAGGGAATAGGAGTGTAGCTTGGTCTCTCATGACTGCTTCCTGCTGACTTTGGGCGTCGAGGGGTCCAGGGAGTGTCCGGTTATTTTGACGGTGTCCTGTTGGTCACGTCTTGTCCGCTGGCGTTCTGAGATGGCTGATTGTCCGATGATCTTGACGATGTCCTGTTGGGAATAACACACGGAACCCAGCGTGGTCCTCCTCTGTAGCATCTAGCAATGTATCCATCCAACAAGTACTTTATGCCGGATGCTGGGATATGAGCAAAGCACAGTCTTTGACCTCACAGTGTAGAGAGATGTGAGAAGAGACTCGAGGATGCGATGATGATATCCTGCGGTCTCGTGAGAGATGCACATGACCTCATGTGGAAAACTGAGAAAGGCCACCTGGGGGGTGGCAAAGCTGAAGAGAGAAAGAACGGATCCTGCCTTGGGAGAAAAGCAGAGCTAAAAGATAACCGTAGGAAGCAAAATAAGATACACATGCATTTTTTTTATCACAGACACAAAAATGAAAATTAAAGGGATGAAATATTAGGGTGCTTCACAAGGATTAGGCCTGAGGAGGAGGGCGGGGAAGAGGTCAGAGACGTATGGAAGGGCTTATGGCCAGACTACATGTGTATTGAACAGAGTGAATT